CTTCCCCTTCTTTCTGACTGAATGAAATGACAGCATCAGAGGAGGGGGTGCACACTCCCCAAGCATTTTTGGACTCAGAAGAAGAAAGTGTAAAAAGCCACGCTTTGCACTCAGAGTGCTGTGTGCTCCCCTAGGTTGACCCCCCTCGCTCAGGCGGTACCTGCCCCATCTCAGCCCCAGATATCTCCCCACACATCAGTGCTCTTGTAGACAGAGACTGAGGTACAGTCCCCGGGGTTAGCTCAGATTGTCCTAATTCATACCTTGTCAGGAAAAGAGGCAGGAATTCTCTAAAGAGCAACTGTAACTTTAAGCATAATTGGTGCTAAAGGTCCCATGAACTGGCTTGCACTAAATGACACTGATGCCCAAGGATGCTTCACTACTGCACATGGATCAGGAGTTGCTTTAAGGATGGACACCCTGAGACAACCTCAGCTGGAACACCCATGCCATAGGGAGCTGACAACAGAATGGCAAAGACCACATCAGCCACAGAGAAAATATAGAAACACACCAAAGGGAGGCAAGGAACCTTCTAAAGGCTAGTGATGCTGAGAGGTCTGATGCAGGGGGAAATGAAGCCCAAAGGCTGCTGCATCTTTTTGACTGCAGAAGCGAAGTGACAGCCATATGCACAGACCACTCCTGAGCTCTCTGAAGGTCTAAATGGGAGCTGAGGCATGAGGACACACAGGCATTTCTGGGGCACAGTGACTACAAAGGTTCCCACCATCCTCTGGGCCCAGAGTCCTACCTGTAGGTCAGAAGTAAAGGTCTTGGGATCACCCCCTCTGCTGAGCTGATTCACTTAGTCAGAGGGAAGTGAGAAATGTGCTTCTGAGGAAGAGTTGACATGGCCTATGGAGTGGACAGTGGCACCGTGAGGCCTACTCACTGTGGTGGCCATGGTGTTGTAAGTCCTGACCAGGCCTTCAGGCCAGGTGAGGCCTCCAGACCTTACTTGCACCTCTGTACTGCAGAGTCCAGGGCTAATATAGACCACGGCCATGTCTTCTTCTATTTGGAACTTGTCACTGTTAGGATGAGGAAACCCTCTGTGCAATCCCAGTCCCTGAAGCACACCTTCCCTGTCCCTTCTCAATTACAGT